CTGGGCCTACCTCGAGAGCTGTCAGGAACCTTGCAAAGTCGAGATGGCAGACAGAAATGATCAACACTCTTGATTCGTTTCTGATGGAGTCGTCTGGGGAAGAGAGTCGCAATATCAACGTTTTGCGCGGTACAGTGTACATTTTCACAGACTTGATTCGCGCTCATGGTCAGGATGGCATACCGCAGCTTCACTTTGAGCATCTAATGGATTGTCTCGAGGTGGTGATTCGTAAAGATGATAGTCGCTTAGAAGCGGATGTGCTGGAGTTGTGTTTGAACATTTTGGATGGCGATTTCGCTCACGTGGCTCTGGAAAGCGGCTGGTCGGGGTTTGTGAGGGTTCTCAACTCTTGCTCGCTCAGAGCTGTTGGTGAACCTGAAGAGCGCGCCGCCTCGATTTCTAGTTCGCAGTCACCCCTCTCAAAAACCAGCACGTCTGAAGACGCAAAATCGAATATCCTGGCCAACGCGGTTCAAATCGCGGCCACAGTCGAAACCCTCTGGGACCGTTTGAGCAGAGAGCAAAAATTGGAATCTACACGGTTCCTGATGAACCTGTGTGAGCACACTGACCCGTCGCAGGCTGAGCTTGTCATCAACACGACGAGATCCGAAAATCTCTGTCTCCCTTCTAACTCAGACTGGGTCAATCATTGTCAGAGATTGATTCGCTGCTTCATCCGGTCTCGCAACAAGCCATCTGATATCCGAATTTCGGCCTTGGATCTCCTGAAGGAAGCGTTCTCGACCTACGATGCGTTAGTTCTTTTCGAGCGAGAGGGGTTGCTCCACCTCATGCTTGAAAAGTTCAGTGAGGAAGATGACATCCTATTCCTAGAATCACTAGTAGCTTTTATCGTTGATACCTCCATCCTTGTTACCGACGACGCTACCTTCAAGTTGCTGGTAGATACCTTGAGTTCACCCATGAACAAGGATCTCGACAACTCCGAGCTTTTCAGCATCCCGGCTTCCGATGCATCTTCGCCTCAACGTCGCTCATCTACGGAACTGGTGTCCGTCCTACATCCTGCTAGCTCTCATCATCACGCGCTGGAATTGTCTCTCTCAAGCGTTTGTACCGCTGGACTTGTCAAAATGTTCCTTAGATCGCTCAATACGTCAGCCAGCAAAGCGATTACAGTGTTCGAGAAGCTTCTCAACATCGCGCAGTCCCTTGAACGACCTGCAGATTGCCGTCTAAATGTTCTTAGATTATTGTTCAGACTCCGATGTGATTCATCTGGCGCTGTTATAGTAATATCGATGTCTGAGAACGATTTTTTGGTGGACGCTTCGGGTCGAGGTGGTCTTGATAGTAGCGCTAGATCACAGGCTTCTGAAAGTGCAGTTGGGGATCATAGTACAAGTGAGGAGAACTTGCGATTGACCGCTCAAGGAAGGCAGTCTATAAGCAGGGAATCACTTGCAAACATCTTATCCAGATCCGCTGGTCGGAACACTGCAGCTCATTCCCGTTCATCGGTCTTAACGCCGCCAGTCTGGACGTTCGCCTCATCACAAGTTCTACCCGAGAATCCACCGGCCGATTCGAGTCCTTACGTGTACGCTTATACGACCCCCGACCTGTCGCCTCAGTCTGAACACGAATCTACTCAGAAAGTCGCGTTGAAGGCCAACATGTGGTTGGAGACCGTCATAACGCTGCTCCTTCGAGAAAAGAGTTGGGAAATCTATAGCTACGTGCTGACCCATCTGGCTCCGCAGCTTAGCAACCGAGGCCTTTTCCGCAACGCTGTTCCTCAAATAAAACTACTACGCAGCGTAATGTGCGATCAAGTCAAGAACGAATCGTTTCGAGAGCCCCCAGCGTCCACGGGTGTCAAGAAAACGGACGTGGCTGGCTATATTTTCGATTGCCTCTCCGTGCTGGTCAGTTATCACGAGGTCTTCGCCAAGAGCGAGGAAGATGAGCTCGTACGCGCCTTTATGATGGGCATCATAGGATCTTGGGGAGATACATCTCGCAGATGTGTACATGCGCTTTCTGTGTGTTGCCATGAAATTCCACTTTCTGTGACGAAATCGTTGAATGGCATATTCGACAAGATGGCAAAAGTGATTACTATGTCCAATCTAGCAGTACACATTCTCGAGTTTCTGTCCCTCCTTGCACGGCTGCCAGATGTCTACGTCAATTTGCGCGAGGAAGAGATCCGAACCGTTTTCGGCATCTGCATTCGCTTCCTCCAGACCTCGAGAGAGCATCGCTTGAGGGCTGGTGACTCGTCAAATCGGCCCAGCCAGGCCTCGACACGGCTTGCTGGCGGTGTCAAAGAGATTGCAGTGACGCCAGTCGAGCCCTCTGATCCATCACAGCAAGATGGGATGTCGAGGTACATCTACACTCTGACTCATCATGTCATGGTCTTCTGGTTTTTGTCCTTGAAACTTCAGGATCGGGCAAAACATGTCAACTGGATTACCAGCAGACTCATCTTCAAGGATGAACATGGGCAGGAAAGGGTTGAAGAACAGAGCCAGGTCTTCATTGATCTGATGCAGAGAGTTGCATTCTCCGATTTGGGTGAGACTATTCCATATGAGACGTTCCCTCCATCGCCCTCGGATGGACCCGTGTCCAAAAAGTCGTGGGTCGTGGGTATGAGCATAGTCACCGTGGAGACAGCTGGAGTATCTGGCTTGACTCAAATTACGAAGCGACAAGCTTCTGGAACTACTTATGCGATGTACCAGCAGCGGACAGCCCCTGTGCTTCCTCATCAAGTGCCGACCTCACCTGATGCGCATGCCCACTCAGACGATATGCGCACTGCTGTACTTCCTTCTCACGTGCTACTGCAGCTGACGACCACAGCATTTCCTACACCCACCGTAATGCAACCGATTCCACTTCCTGATGACGACATGACTCGCAGAGCGCTAAGCATTTTTGACCGCAACGACATTGTCGATGGCCATAAAATAGGCGTCATTTACATAGACAACGGCCAAACGACCGAGTCGGAGATTCTCTCTAATACCGTTGGAAGCCCTGACTACGAGTACTTCCTTTCCGGTCTGGGGACCAAGGTACCGATTAGAGGAGCACAGTTCAACACCCAGGGATTGCATCCCGACGTGGATGGCGAGTTCACTTATGCTTGGAGAGATAGAGTGACCGAGATTGTGTACCACGTCGCAACGGTGATGCCCACCGATTTCGATAGAGATCCTGCTTGTATCAACAAAAAGCGGCATATCGGGAACGACTTCGTCAATATCATCTTTAATCGGTCCAATATTCCATTCAATTTCAACACGATTGCGTCTCAGTTCAACTTCATCAATATCGTCATTAGTCCAGTCTGCCGCGTCGCATCTGGATCTGGTGCCGCAACTCCGACGGCCAGTGATTTTGAACAGACGTCCTACACTGTGAAGGTCATGAGCAAGCCTGGACTGCCTGAGATCTCGCCCGCCTCGACTCTCAAGGTCATTTCTGGAAAGAACCTCGCAGCCTTTGTGCGCATCCTTGCGTTGAATGCATCCGTGTTTTCCCTCGTATGGAACAGTCAAGGAGGTGAGCATGTTTCCTCTTGGCGCAATCGCCTCCGCGAGATCAAGCGGCTCAGAGAACGGGCACTGGGATCGCAGTTGCAGACGTCAGAGGCTGCGGAGGGTGCCTACCCTGGTCAACGACGCAACACCAAGCCCAACATTTTCTCCGAAGAGGTGCCTACGCGAGTGGCTCCTGTCAAAACTGACTTCGCTACTGATTGGAATGCCGCTGCAGATGCCAACATTTTGCAGAACTTGGACTTTTCTCGTTGGGGCCGTTAAAAGGCGATATATCTTTCGTATTGGTCTCCAGTAATATCAGTCGCAATACAAAACTGCTTTGGATGATCCAAAAGAAACCGGTTGAAGAAGAGGATTGAGGGTTGATGGAAGGAGAGGAGTAAAAAATGAATGTGTGATGCCCCTTTACCTGCTTGATGATTTCTAGGCTCCAAGACTTCTCCATGCAGTACGTTCTTTGTTATTTAATGATCCACACACCTGTGTCAATACCCCCTGAATGTCATGAAAAGTTTTTGTTTTCTTTTCTTTCTCTCCTGGAGTATCCTTTTCTTATCCCCTGTATATGACCTGACCTGGCTATTACTAGTATTCCTGTATTATTTGCTTGTCTGTAGCAGACTGCACACGATGATGAATTCCTGATTCAACACATGCCACTCCTAGAAGGTTGACTCATGTGATAAACTTACTGAAAACTTGGATCCCTATGATAGCATTTTTCGAAGATAATTACAGATTACTTTTCTTTCTGAGACTGAAAGAATAATAGAAAAGTCTTGGTATGGACACCAAAGTTTGTAGAATCGGGTTGTCGAGATCTAAGAGCAACACCACAACGATGAGTAGATTAGGGCAAATTATTTATTTACATAAGGCATTTGTGGAGATGAGTGAGAGGACGGTAGTAAACCGCAGTACTTAATAGTCACCATAAAAGCTTTCAGAAAGATCTTTCGGATAGTTTATCTATTTCACTTCACGATTCCTACTTTCACCGTCTATCTCATGCCTTCAACAAATTGATTATGGTCAATTGAATGGCGCTAAAAGACAATAAAGCATGCTATCGAACCTCAGCCGAGGGTATCTTTCTTTGCGAAACAATAGAAAAAGCGCAAAGACGCAAACAAAGAACAAGATACCTAAACGCCACGCAAATTATGCTGAAAATGCAAGATGCCCGCTGATGATATCCCCGAACAGATCAAGATAGAAGCACTTCTAAGAAACAATGTGTGGATCCCTTAGGCAGATGACAAGGAAAATAATGCGGAGTAAAGGGGAAAAGGTTCGGACGCATGAAAACGCTTTTGACCGTTGTCTTTGTTCTAAACCCAGAACCAAGCTTAAGAAGAACGCCAGCGCTAGATGATCGACGAAGAATGATGCCAATGAGATGGATAAAAAGTATGATCGAGATGTGGATATGGTTTGGAGAAACGCAGTTTGTACTCAATCCCTTGGGTTTCCCAACCCGCGAAGTGCAACTCGCCTGCTGGAACCAGCTCGACCAATATCGCTGATGCTTCTGGATTTGGGCAAGGTGCGGGCTCTGGCGCTAACAGGCTCTTGCTCATGCGTTGGTAAGATATATTTGACCGGTCTCGAGGAAGAGCTCCTTCGAGCTTGACCAAGTACATCTTCCACCCATGCCTCACTTTCCGGGCTGATTGAGACACGACGTGATCTTGGTGTTGGGCCTGCTAGACCCAGGGGTATCGACGGCGAATTCGTGAACGTTCCACGGTGGTTTTCGCTCGCAAATGATGTGCCACCGAAGGAGTTAGTAGAAGAAACCGAGAGCCGTCGGTGCGAGGAGACGGTGGACAATGGGGAATACGAGGTCATCAATGCCTGACCGGCGCTAACGGAACGGAAGTCCGGCCGATCTGACACGTTCGACACTCGCCGCGTTTTGCGAACAGCAAGCGAGGATGAGGGCCGATTACTTATAACGGATGCGGGTCGGGACGGCGTTCTGCGTCCAGTGTTGGCGGTCGGTGTGAGTGTGCTGCCTGGTGATGAATGGGCGGGAGTTCCACGGGAAGAAAGGCCTTGAACCTCGGCGCGCGGTGTTTCGGATACAGTCCGACAACCGTGGTGGATAGCGTACTCCCTGAGATATTCGGCTAAGTCGGCCCATCCGCCTCCAACACGAACCATCACACGTTCACCCTTTTCTCCCACGGTGCGAATGAATAGCTTGGTAGGAGCAGCCTTACCACCGCGATGCAAATGATACAACTTCACGGAGCCGTCTTCCGGCGCATGAGAATGCCTCCTGCGAGAGGGAGCTGCGGTTAGCGTCAATGAAGGTGTAGGCGTGCCGCTGCGCGATAAGGCTCCCTGTGGGGTCATCGAGCGGAAGCGCTCGCCATGTTTCAATGGCAGGGAAGGCGCCACAGAAGCCTCGTCAAATTCGTGGTCTCCAGAAGAGACTAGGTGAATGCGGGCAGGAATAGTGTTCAGTATCGAGCTTATTTTCTCATCCAGTTCATTCTTTGGTCTCCTCATCTGTTTACTGGGAGTCGGGGATCTCGATGTTCCCTTTCTTGAAAAGCTAGTGTCTCCCAAAGCCCGCGAGTTGGAATTGTAAGCACCAATGTTCTCAAGGCTAGGATGTGTAGTCATTTGCTTTCGTATACGGACGGCGTCGTTACCAACAGTAGGTTCCGATGGAGGGATTGGAATGACAGAGTTTCTGGCAAAAGCGTTCGTGTTAAGTGCCCAGGCTTTAGACGGCTTAGGGGTAGCGTCATCGAGTTCCGAAGTGGCTTGTCTTCCCTGAGAAAGTCCCAGGTGTTGACTTGCGAGGAGTTTCAAGCTATTAGTCGGCGCGGTTGAGCTATCCTTTGGTGACTGTAAGTCCGTTGCATGCTGCTCGCTTTGAGGACGCAGGTCGACGGAAGCATCTGAGGCTCGTCGATTGCTGAGGGTACCATTCAAATCACCTCCAGCCTCGCTCTCGTACTGCATGTCGAATCTTTCATTGATGAATCTTTGCAGAGGAAGGCTCAGGGCCCGGTTATGCGACATGGTTGCGTTAGGAACTTTCTGGTTGTCTAACCGGCGCAAGCGCTCTTCACGCAGAGTATGGTCGGTACCAACAGATACATAATCAGATGCTTGTGAAAGGTCTTGGAAGGGTGGTGGTGTTTCGAGAAGCAGTGGTGTCCCATTCGAAGACGCGGTGTGAGGCTCACGGATGCCTGGACTAGATGTAAGGGAGGGATAATCCGAAAGGGAGCCCGCAGATGCGGTGGAAGTTCGTCGAGCCCGCGATTTGGGGTTTCCTTTGCCAATATATAAGCTCTGCGGCCTGGTTTTCGAAAGTTTGATGGGACTTTCCAAGCGAATCTTGGGGGGAGGAGCTGTCTCCGAGGCCCGTTGTGGTTCACCGCTGTAGACGGCAGACTCCTTGTCATCGCGAGAATTAGACGCTGGCTTCCCAAATTCTGGCGTCGAAGTTGTGGATGCAGAAGGCGACTCTTCTCTCTTGAGTGACATAGAAGTAGAAGGCGCTCCAGTTGTAGCTGCTTCGGCTATGACGCTTGCCAGAGTTGCTGCTTCGTTTTCGATCGGCGACGATTTCTCGGAACCAGACGGGTCAACTGCTGCTCTTGCTATATCTGCACTCAGGCCCTGATGATCAAGCCTGTTGCCTGTGAGTCGCTCAGCCGCAGCTGTCGCATCGCTGAATGCAATTTCTGTAAAGTTGCTCGAAACCGTGGGAGCAACCTTGCCCTTCAATGGTCCAATTGAAAGTTGACGATCAGAGTCAGAAGGCACCGCGACGAGGGGTAATCCCTCTGAAAATTGTTTCCTTCTTTCCTGAATGTTGTCTTCAGCTGTGGTGTTGCTTGTTTGATGCTCATTGATGCCACAAACAGCACCTGTCCGCTCCATCGATGTGCCTGTCGTAGGTAGTGAGGATGTTTCCGACTCTGGAATCCGGAAGGAATCATTCTTTAAACTGGCAAAGCTGGGTTCTTCTGGGGGTGCATTCTTGTGCTCTTTGTAAATGGACTTCGCCGACCCTGAAGCGATAGATGGTACTCCCCGAACAGATACAGATAGTTGCGAACCGCACAACTTCTCCTCAACATGTGAGACAAGAGATGTATTCTCTTGTAGGGGCTCGGATGGAACAGATAAGGACTCAACTGCAGGCCGGTTTGCGATAAAATGGTCATTTGTCAGGGAACATTGAAGGTCACGAGACACCTGATGTTTCTCGGTTATCGAGCTTGTGTCGTCAGTCTCTTCTCCCGAAGATTGCTCTATGGAAGCTGGACATTCCTGTTCGGGAATTTCTGGCAGCGTAGTATTTCCATGGGTTTGAGCTGCAGCCTCTCTATTCTCTTCAAACGATACCTTCTCTGAAACGGCATCAGATATGACCTGTAGAACCTGACGAACGCAAGGAGCCGAATGAGATGGGGGGTCGTCCGATGGCTCGTCTGAGGATCCTCCAATAGAATTATCAGAGGCGTCTTCTGAGGAGCTTTTCATGATTTCCGAAGACTTCGGTTGACACAAGTCCACATCAACGGGTGATACAGTATCTATCACGATTTTGATTGCACTTTGTTCTGGAGGCTCATTCACTAGCTCCGCACCCTCTTTTGCTGTTGATGTAGCGTCCGTGTTAGGTGCAGGCAAACTCACAAACTCACTCGGGTCAAGATTGGATTGCGAGGGATCCGAAGTATTGAGCACCTGTTCAGAGTTTTGATTGTGCGTAACAGGATCAGAGATATCTTCCACCAACGAGTGGACATCGTCGCTTTCGTTGATGGTTTCCATAGGAAGCGAGCAATTGGATTGTGGGAACGGGTCGGATGAATCCGCAACTGGAGGCTCAGAATCTTCCTCTTCAGGAATGTTTGACAGCCGATTCTGTTTATTCTGCATACGTTGAGCTTCTTTTGATTTACTCGTCGTCGTCTTCAGGCGTAGCCATTCATTCTCAACCGTACGCTTTTCAGCCTCCATAACCCAGGTGCTAAAATCAGACTCAACAGCCTCCAGCTCGTCAATCCAATTTTCCGGGAGTGAATCCTGTCGACCCTCGAGCGCGTCAAGGATATTATCCATTCGTCTGCCCACCGAGAGTACTATCGCCTCAAGTCCAGCTCGCTTGGCATGATAGTTTTCTCTCGAATATAGGGGATCATTTTCAGAAGGAGGAGAAGGAGCTTTCAACAGTTCCATCGCAGAGTCCACCTCGGACCGAGCAAGATGCAAAGCTCGTAGGAGGCCTGGAATCTGGCGAAGCACTAATAGTCGAATGTCCCATGTTGTAAGGAGGCTATTCAGCCGGGACAAAAGAGGAAGGGCTCGAAGAATGGTGGCGGTGATGACGGCAGTGAAATCGCTCAATTGAACGTAGGTTAGAGGAGGAGGCATGGACACGGTGCTATTGGATGACGAGGGCCGAGACCGCGCTGGAATGTGGGCATTGAGTACATGTTCCTTGAGTTCGTCAACGTCCAATGTTTCCATCCCATCTCGAATTTCTTCAATGCGATCCTCATGCTGCTTAACCACGACCGAGGGTAAGCTGCCATAGTAGATGTGTTCCTCAGAGTCGATACTACTCGAAGATGGCGGCATGAAACCTTTTCCTAGTTCAGCATCGGCTCGTTTCGGCCAGTCCCATGCCTGCAGCTCCCGATACCACTCGCCGAGCTTCTGAGCTGCTATAGCCGCGCGGATTCCCAGGGCGCGTTCCGCCGGGGAGACTTGTGAGATACTCTTCCAGAGAATGTCATGAGCAGCTTTCTCATTCTTGGGTACCGCATCGGTGGAGGTTAGTGCCAGCAAGGTGGACTCGGGAGAAAGGTTGCTGAGCAAAGGGTCAATCGTTTCATATTTCGGAGCAGCAGAACGGTCGGGAGATCGAGATAATGAGCGTTTACGATAATGATGAGATTCGGTGGGAGAGAATCGAACCGACGGGCGAACAGGGCTGACACGACTGGTTGCCATTTCGGGAAAGGGGTCGTCACCAGCTTAGATCGACGGCTCACAAAGGCCGGGCGGAAAGATTACCGAGGAGTGGATGTATATTTCAACAGACGGAGGTCGAGATGCGGTATCAGTGATGGTAGGAGAGAGAGAATACCGCTGAGTGAGCATGCTGAGCCGCGATCCCGCTGAAGCTGACGAAGGCGTTTGGCGAGGTTGGTGTATAGGGACTGAAAGCGACAGCGTACGGAGTAGATCGAGCAGAATCGAAGTACAGAGAAACTGGAGCGGAGATGATTCTGAGGAACGAGAGATACTTTATGACGATAGTGAGAGACAGGATGAAAAGGAAGAAGAGTTAACAGGTCGGATAGGTCACAAACGGCACTGGAACGGGGAATATTATGAGGTTGGCCGGGGGGAAAGTAGGGAAAGGCTGGGATCGACCAAGTCGGGATGGCAGCAGCAGAGGGGAAACGAGTGTAATGTCGGAGACCAGCTCATTAATAGTTGGGTCTCAATGACGGAATTGATAACAACCAACCACTTGCATCAAGAGTAGCAGCATTATCTGTGCATGCATGGAGAAAAGAGGAGAGAGAGTTTTGATGGTGTTGTTGTGGTGACCTGGAGACGGAGATCCTTAAGCTAGCTAGCTACTTTACTAAGGGTTGACGGCGACGCGCGGATACTCAAGTGGACCTTACTATTCACTAGTAGACTAAATCCATACTTACTAGCTATCTAGGCAATAATATCAGGGGGTTTTCGCTAGAAGAAGTATTTTTGGATAATTCCCCGTTAAAAGGCACTAAGAATTTCCCATTAGGGTATTGTGTATTGTATTTGCTCTATGGAGTCCTGAATATGCATCCTGCACTCGTTCTCTGGCCGACGCGTATGCTATTTACTTATTTATCGCTACAGAGACTTACGAAACATACATATTGACAGCTGCCTCTCACTGGATCCATGCATCTGCAGATGACAGAATCCAACTTGGCTCATTATGCGGTCAATATGATGGCCTCTGGCATTCAAATCCGCCCCCCATACACCATAATTCTCATTCCACGCGATTATCAGAATGACTCTGTAGCCATATATCCCTTCCTTTCTCGTCCCAAATTCAAATAAGTCGATTGATAGAACAAAGATTACTTTCTAGATCTTGAATGGCCTTACCCCTTGCATGACCACCCCCAAGCCCATCTTTCGTCTCTTCTAGGTACCGCAATGGAAAAAGCTCTCCGCACTCAACCCGACCTTCTCAGCGGCGCACCAGAGAAACTGGTCGTTGCGCTTCAGGGACTGGAGGAACTGTTAGCTGTGGACAAGTTCCTGCTGAGGAAGATCACGGATCACTTAGTCAATGAATTAATAACAGGTTTGGAACCTTGCAGATCAGCCTGGAAACGATTTTAGGAAGCATGGTAAAGGACGTCGTCATTCGTCGATGTCCATACTGACCAAGTCCTCAAGGCCTAAGCGCACAAGGAGGCGATATCGTTAGTGAGCCTGCTGGATTTGAATATCTTGGTTTCGTGCTCTGAAGGGACCCTAACTGATCGAGATCGTGCCACAGCCAATGAACGTAACTTGGGTCATGGGCTATCCAACTGGCAAGGAGCATGGGAAGTTTTTGATCCTGGACATCGGAGGCACCAACCTGCGCGTAAGTCAGGCGGAGCTTTTCGGTAGCGATTGCGATATGGAGTCCATCCAGGAGCAGTACAGTATACCCCAGTCGATCAAGCAAGGTACAGCCGACGATCTGTGGGATTTCGTGGCGGACTGTGTGCAGAAGTTTCTCCAGTCACGGCTCAGAATAGATCTCAGATCGAAAGTCTTGCCGCTTGCCTTTACATTCTCCTACCCCGTCATTCAGTCCTCTATAAAATTCGGAGTCCTTCAGCGCTGGACGAAAGATTTCTGCGTATCTGGAGTCGAAGGTCATGATGTCGTATTTCAGTTAGAGGCTGCGTTCGAACGGAAGGTGTGTCCCCTCGTTATTCCTAGCAGGTTGCAAAGGCTAGAAAATGTCGTGTTCTCTTATCGCTCATTTGGCTAGCAAATTCCCGTCCGAGTCGTAGCTTTGGTCAACGATACGGTCGGGACGCTCTTCGCCGCGGCGTATGGAGACCGAGAGGCCAAGATCGGCAGTATAGCAAGCTCCGGTTGCAACGCTGCGTACATGGAAGAGGTTGGTGCAATTCCAAAAATCCAAGGCTGCGGGCTACCAAGCGATGCTCTCATCGCGATCAACACCGAGTACGGTGCCTTCGATAATTCACGCCGCATACTGCCGCGCACACGATTCGACGATGAAATCGACCGGACATCCGCGCATCCAGGCCAGCAGCTGTACGAGAAAATGGTCTCCGGGCCTTACTTGGGGGAGTTGCTCCGACTGGTGATGTTGGAACTGCACGAAGCCAAACTTCTCTTTGTAGGTCAGGATGTTTCGTGCTTGCGCCAGCCAAATGCCATGGACACCTCCCTCTTCCCAACCCTAGAGGACACTACCGAGTGCATGGAAAACGCCCGTAGGTGCCTGTGGGAGAAGATGGGCCTTGATCCAGCTCCGCACGAACGCAAGACCTGTCGGTACCTGGCCGAACTGGTTGGAACGCGTGCTGCCCGTCTCTATTCATGCGGGATTGCAGCGATCTGCAAGAAACGGGACATCGAACGCTGCCATGTCGGCGTTGATGGCTCAATTTTTGGTCATTACCAGAATTACCGCAAGCGAGCGGCACAGGCCCTCCGTGATATTTTTGCATGGCCTGATGACCTTGAGGATCCGATTGTGTTTGGATTCTACAAAGACGGGTCTGGAGTTGGCGCCGCGTTGATCGCTGCGTTGGCTGTCGAGAGATCGGATGGGTCTCTCCTTAGCAGGACAGAATAGACTTTAACTCTTAACGCAGAATCATCTCCCATTTTCTATTGCAGTTTGCGATAATTCGAACCTCGGTCAGTCTGTAGCAGGTGAGCAGCTATCTACGTAAAGCAAAGCAAGCCGTAAGGCCTTAGGCCACTAGCGTAGCCTGCAACACTAAAATGTTTCCCCACAGCGATGACCAGTTAGCGCTGTCCCTTGCCGATTACCTCCAGCCTGCTGAAGCCTGGACTCGTCAATAATGCACAAAGCTCAAGCATCATCACAGTAGTCTAGATATCCTCAAGTAGTCCAATTGATACCGTTCCAAGGACAGTATTCGCAGCGACGCGATGACCCACGATGCGTTTTCGAAGTCAACTGACTAATATTGTCACCTTCACCAGTAAGTCTCCCCCATCACCAATCATCAGCATTCCCACTAATCACCCACCAACAGAGTTGACAGCTTCCCTCTCATCCTTGGGGAAAGTCTGCTGGATGCGCCTGGAAGATGGCATCGTCCGCTTCACTATCATCCCCGACCAAGGCACGCAAGTGTGGGCCCAGTTACCAGTCGTACGCACCCCCGTCCCACGCCTCAAATAAGAACCCCAAGCTAACAAACACCACCAGGACGCCATCTTTGACGAACCAACCTACACCCTCCAATCCAACTCAGGAGTCATCAACCTCGAAGTCCCAATCGGCGCGCTCCATCGCGCCCTCCGCTCCGCAACGGGCGCCACCTCCGCCCAACTTCGTCTCACAAAGAAAGGCAACATCCCTCTCCTCGCACTAACCGTCCTCTCCTCCTCCTGGACAACAGGCTCAAACGCGCTCGGAATCACCAACGCCCGCACTGAGGTCGGTTCCCCGGGAGCAACAGCAGCAGCAGCTCCTGGCGTGACCGGGCCCCGCGAACGCGAAACGGTAATCACGCAAGAAATCCCCGTCAAGGTTCTGCACGAGACCGCCGTCGAGGGCCTGCACGAGCCGCGCTGCCGGGATCCAGACGTGCACATCATTCTCCCGAGCCTAGCGCACCTGAAAAGCATCTCCGAGCGCTTCTCGAAGTTAGCGGGGGACGCAAGACCCGCGGCCAGCAGCGGGATTGTCTCCTCGACGCTGACGTCCCCCAAGCTCGAGTTATCGGCGAATATGCATGGGTCGCTGAAGCTGGCGATTGCGACAGATGCACTGCGCATCTCAAGTGTGTGGAGTGATCTCGTGAACCCGCCCCTGGACCCGGCGCAGATGTCGCAGAGTGAGATCGAGCAGTTGCCGAGTGAGAGGATGCGGGCCTTGGGAAGTGATGATGAGGCAGGGTGGGCTAAGGTGCGGATCGATTCCAGGGATTGGAGTCGGGTGTTGAGTATTGGGCGGCTGAGCCTCAAGGTGGTTGCCTGTGAGTTGTCCTGTGTTGGTTTATATGCTTGCGACGGTACATTTGTGCTAATACGTCTACTGTCCAGGTTTTATCCACGAGACAGCCCTGATTTTGTATGTTTACTTACCGGGAAGTTGGAATGGGGAGGATTCGTGCTTGACAGTAAGTTCCCAGTCGCTATATTTTAGCCATGTCATTATTAAAATTTCCCTTGCTAGTATTACATCAACTCCTATGCAGCCTGATCTATCAGGAAAACCCGCCTGAGTCTTGAAGACCTTGGGCAAGGTGCGAGCGCCAAAGCTGCCTTAATGAGACATGATACATAGAATGCTGGTTATTAGAGTAATAGCGGACAAATTAAAATCGTATATCATACAAAACGTAAGCCAATCTGTCGCAAGACCTCAAAGAAAGCCTTGGTGATTGCAAGAATTCGGCTTGGATCTAACGACCCAAAATGATCATCTCCAAACTCCCATAGGAAGTCGTGCAGCGCAACTGTGCGCAGACGTATATGCAAACATGCAAGAAGGAGAAATTTTGCAAAGCGCCGCCAAAAGAGGCCGCTATTCTTCAAGCCGAACCCGGCATGCAAGCTTCTAAGCAAACTCATCATCAATGGTTCTATGACCGGACCGAGTATATGCATTTCACATTGTGCAAGAAGTGAAAACAAAAATAAGTTGGGAAGTAAGAATAGGTCGAGTATCATGACAAGACCTCTGAGTGTGATACCGGTAGTCTCAG